TAGTAAGTGGGAGGGGAGTCCATGGTCTAGCAGCGCTAGTGGATACGGCAATGGGAACACAACAACGATAGTATATAAAACTCGATGTGAGTTAAAACGAACGCCAATCCGGCATTCGAGTAGTTGAGGTTTACATATGTTAAGGGGGGAGTACCAAAGATGAGTTGTTCTTGCGAAAACAGAGGAGGGGAATTCGGTCTTGCAACAAGTGATATAAACTCGACGGGGTGGTCGGATAAGCAAAGTGTGGCCTGTTTGGTAAATATGGGAAGAGAGACAGAAAGATCCAGATCAAATGCGCCTCTCCTGTGACAGTAATGGCAACACAGACCGAGGGCCGTTACCTGATGATGACTATGTATTCGCAAAATACACGTTGGACAGGGGGGAATCGATTAAACGCAACCGTTTGCATTGGATTAGATAAGAGAAGGAGGGGCAAGGAGAATAAACCCAACTTCAAACGTCGAGACTTAGGTCCGGACTGAGATCACATAAAGTGGTCACACAGAAGTTTTGGGTTAACACAGTCACAGACGGTATCAAGATCAACATTCCGTACGGTCCTTGCACATTCGGAGTGACGCGGAGCGCCTGGATTATCACACGCTGACTTCGTCTGCGAACTCGTGCTTGTAAACAACTCGATGCAAATCACGATGCCAACCACACAAAAGTAAGCAACTTTGTACAAGAAACCTCAATTGTCCACGTTTGTGGTGTCAGCACATTCCCAAGTCTATCGCTGACCGGTGCAATGCAATGTCAAGGTCCGCAAACCTAACAACGATGAGCGGAATGATGGTTCGTTGGTTGGATTGCGGTCAGCCCTTTCGAGACCAGTCTGCTGATTCTGCCTAACATCGCGATCACGGAGCAGATTAGAGCAGGCCCAACAACTGAGGCACAAACGCATGAGTAAGTAGGTAAGTGACACGCACATGCGCGTATGCTAGAACAGCACTATCCTATGGGGCGGTCTTTGTGACAAAGTGAATGGCGGGTATGGTGAACCAACACAAGTGAAAGGAAGAAGGCCTTCGGTGCGGAGTTATTCATTGGAAAATGCCAACTGAACAGTTACAGAATATTGGGCTGGGGGGGGGGG